TAAAGTAAACCGTAATGCAGACGGCGCAGTTTCTTTTCTTTCTTTCTATATACATGCATCACATCACATTACATCTATATGCATGTATGTCATATATATTTAGTTGATGATTAATAATATACATATACATGTTCGTATATGCGCACACATTATATATAATTTTTATGTATATATTTCCCTACTTTTATTAACTTTAAAGGAAATTTATTTATTTCTTATATTCACGTTTCGGTTTAGCACCTGCCATCTACTTCTCACCACGACAAGGGTCGACTGGTAGAGAATGCCTTTAGGCATTAAGTCCGCCCATTGTAGCCTTTGGCCTAAGGTGTAACAATGAAGTATAAATGTAGACTCTGGTAACAGAGGCATCGTTTATCGCGTCACAGGCAGCCGCAGCTTGCTTTGCGCCGCATTAGGCTAGTCGCGTGCACCACACCACACCACGACAAACGATCTGTATATCCGCCAACACCGCCTCCAAAGTAGGTATAATGTGTACGTGTAATAACGCAGCCGCGTAACTCTGACGTAGCTTCGACTTCGAGATTGATTCACCTTTTGGGCATATTAAAACGACCCACCATGAAAGCAAAACCAGGATGTTTCTACAATCATTTTCAAATAGTCTTAAGGCTATTATCAAGGTGTCATCTTTTCTGGAATCTTCTTAACAGCATAAGACGACAGTAAGCTTAAAACATTTTGTAACACTGTGATATACATATTTATAGAACTAAGCAAATAAAAATAAATAAAATTTAGCATACTGGACAATAATTACAAGTCAACGTATCAAATGATTATGTAGATAGGTTAGCGTCCATGAGTAAATGTATGCTAACAAGTATTACTAAGTTTAATTTACGAATGATAAAACTCTGCATCAAACATGGCCATTATTTCTTGACAAGTTTTTTGTACATCTGCTCACGAATCGCAAACTTGACAAACGGGTTTTTGGTGTTCACATATATTAATTAATTAATATTTAATCGAAGAACTCTTTTCCGATTTCAAGGTCGCTCGGGCGAAGCGTTTCATACCGTCTCTAGACACCGTTTTTTATTTCACTTGACTAATACCCGGCAGCCCACGTCGATATTTCTTGGGTGGTTAGTTAAGTGACCTAATACTTGACATTTTATAAGTTGCTAAGTTTTTTATGACGGGAAAAAAACTGTCGTGTTCAACACGATAAACGAAAAAGGCCCTAAGTGCTAGTTTTGTTGATTTCGTCTTGTCATTAACTTGTTTAATACACGCAAGTTTATTCTTAGGAATAATCAATTTATAATTTAAAAAATATGCATACGATCTTATTTCAATGCAAGAAAATATTGAATGACATCGGTTCTTAACTAAATATTTCCTTGAATGATGAACGTAAACTAGACGCACCTTGCAAGCATAGTAGGGCGCAACATGATGAAGGTTTCGTGTATTTAACGCTTACACTTACACTAGAATTGACCATCGAACGGTTACCAACAATTGCTTAATTCGCCCATAATAAGGTTTCGTTTCGATTAGAAAATCGTACGATCAAAGCAATTATCGATTTGCATAATTGTAATAACGAAAACGTATACGTTTCGTCCAACACTTCTATTCTCGTACATAAGTACAAACTAGTGGAGTTAATAATGTGAAATAGCTATTTTAATAAAACAGTCGGTCGATACAAGGTAAACTTGTTATTATTCGCTTCGTATACAAATTAGTCAGATGTGTTATTTCGTCAGAATATCTACAGATGGATCTGGTTTTGTTTGTATACGTATTTTCATAATTATGTTCTTACTAGCTGCTGCCCGCAACCACGTCTGCGTAGAATAGCCTGAAGGCGTAACATTCAGACAGAAAGACAGATATATACATAATATGTATATAAATTATAGCCTATGTGTTATTCTGATGTATAAGCTATATGATTGTAAAGTTTCATTACAATCCATTTAGTAGTATTTGCGTGAAAGAGTAACAAACATTCATCCATACATAAAAACTTTCGCGTTTATAACATTAGTAAGGATACTTTTTTCCGTTTTTGCCAGAAGAAGAGTATGAAGTATTTGTTAATTAGTATAAAAAGAAATCGTAGAACTAAACATAACTTATCTTGTTATAATATTTGGATAGGCTTTGTCACATAAAGTTGTCATTATAAGATAAAATTTGCGAATGCCTTATAAACTTTTTGTTAATAAATATTATGAATGTAATACAATAGACTATGATACCGACTGTTATTTTGTGTCGTAGATGTATCCAACGTCGTCGATTGCAATATAATATTAAAGTTCGACTCAAGTGTCCCCACGTAAAGCAGTAGATATATTTGATCGTAATAATGAAAGACCGGTTTAGATGTCGAATCCCGCGATATTCTTTCCACACGGATGGCGCGGCGTTAAACTATTTTATTCGGCAGTTATGTAAACAGTGGCGCGATACGACCGCTGAATAAATGTCCCCAATTCAATTCAAGTGTTTCATTAGCACAAGTGGCCTCGATTGCTTCGTTGATCGAGGCGGACCGATTGCCGCAAAACTGAGGCGCCTCGCTCCATACCGGCGCAATCAATGTACAGAGACGCTCCTGATTTCGGACATTTAGCGAGCTGTATTAGAATGATTAGCCATTACTGTCTTAGTCGTGTTTGTTTGTACGTCCTTCTTTCACTTGTCGTCCGGAGTGACTTAGCAGCCACCCCGCGTAATACACGGTTTCTGTGGGATTGATAGAACTAATGATCCCGGAAATTGTGATCCCCGCAAGCGGTGCCGCTGGTAAAAATTTGTGTACATTTTGAGTTAATGGGTATTTCGAAAACGTAACCTCGGAGACTAAAAATCGACATTGTTCGAAACTCAAAACTACTTTAACTGTAACATTATGTACTGAGAAGATACGACTTTCTTGATAAAACTCCAAATCGTATTTAAAACGATAAGACGACGTTGCGAATATTTACCATTTTCAAGAACCGTTTAAGTAAACAATTTTATCTTACGTGCTTTGGTTATTGCGTAGTAAACACGATTCCTGTTGTTGCTTAACAATTATTATTACAATAACACCGCAGTATAATTAAAAGTTTTAATAAAGTTGTTGATAACATACTAATGGGAATCGCGAGTACAAAAACACCATACTATAAGAAACTCTGCGTAGCCTAGGCGTTGACCACATAGTTAATTTAAGCATTACTTACAATATAACTCAGATTACGCCGGACTGTGATGCCGACGAAGTCTTAATCTCTATGTGACTGCACTGAAAAAAACGGATCATTGCAAAAAAAAAGTAACTTAGTTATTCAACGGTAGATTGTGTTCGCCAATGCACACTTCAGTGGTTCTGTATATGTGTAATTGGTATTTATATTAGGCCTATGATCCGAGTAAGCCTTCGCGCGCTGCCGAGTCCTATTATAAATCACAACCACGGATCGGGCGATCGCGTTGTTCACGTCCCATTACCGGTTTGGTCGTTCACGTCGGACGTTCTCGGTTGCCACGTGCAAGTGCCCGCTGTCAATTGCGCAGTGATGCCCTTATAGCTTTATAGTCTCAACGGGAATAACCGAATGGCGGCTAAATTGGAATTTATCGCTGGCACAGTTTAAGATGTTTTGAGCACTGCCTAGATGTATCTCTTGCCCTCTAGATGGGTTTGACGGCGACCGTTCATTGGTGCAATAACTACACCGATTGTGGTCTAGAATTGCATGTAAATAACTCGAACGAGTCCAATCAAATCGCGTTGTTATCCATCCCCTTTTCATAATCTATCATCATTTCAACCTATTTGGATCCATTATGTCTAGCCACAGACTGCAACGAAGCACGATCCTGAGCCACCCGACACCATGGACTCCATCTTTTTCTTAAACCAGGCTTAATTCCTTTGATGTTCAAACGAATTTTAAAATTATATACGTTACTGTCAAGCAATTGATACATCGACATATAAAACTGGAACAAACAATTACATTAAAGTTTTCCCTTAGAGACTTATTCATAATGACTCAACATTAAATGGAAATTGAATAAATCGAACCAAATGTACTTTGTATATAGCTCTATAGATTGGTGCACTGATTAATCCAAAACCTGGAAATTGGACCTTATCATCCCAACTCGTTCCATTTACCTCAGGTTATATAACATTATAACAGCCCATTATGTGACTAGATTCATAACTGGGCTGCATAACGCCCGTTAGCTTATACATAGAACAATAATCAGCGCTAATAAAACTGTCGTAAAACACTTCTAAAATTTTAATTGTCTCCAATATTTTATGTACATAATAGGTGGTGTGGGGAAGCGTTTTATCAAATTAATGTTAGTAGACCGCACATGTCCATCCATATCCCACTAGAATGCACTGTCTGCCCCTACTCAGTATGTCAATCCATATCCCACTCGAACGCACTGTCTGCCCCCTACTCAGTACTGGGGCGTAAATAATAAATTTCTGTAGGACATAGTATCCCCTGAACGTTTCAATATTCCGTAAGTATAAAGGATTCGAGAACTTGAAACGAAAATGTATAAACGAAATGAATTCAATAGGTACTAAAATTTTGCTATGTATTTATTAACGTTATGTTAAACATAATTAATTCTCCTATTATCGCGCATCGATCTATTTGGCTTCAATGTAATCTGTTACCATACTGTATTCGTAACGAATGAGTTACATCAGCCGCCGCCTCCGCAGGCTTTCCGTGCCAGCGGTGTAAAGTTTTACTTTCTTGTAGGAAGTGCTGTCGCTTTCAACGGAGACCGGTTGGGGAGTACCGAGGCGCTGGTTATTAATATTATTGTATCGTAAGCTAGGAGCGTCGGTTTGCTCCACACTTGGACGTATCCAACTCCAGAAGTCACTCGTTTTGTTGGGACCATAATATATGACTTGAACATTGTGTGTTGCGTAGTATATTGTTAATTGAACTGTTCGAAGTCATAATTGTCGTTTCTGTTTTCAGGTGAGCCCCGAATACCAGAACGATAATGGAGTAAAAAATTTTGTAAGTTGAACTTGTTTTCATCTTACTATTGAAAATAATCCAAAATCTTTATAACTGAATACGGTTTCTCAACGAGTGTGATTCAATTATTGAATAACTAAACGTTTCAACACAAGTTACAAAACGGTCTTATTTAAAAATTGAAATTAGAGAAAGTGAAAATAATGATATAAAACATTTTTTCAATGCTTCAGTATATTTTAGATTTGTTATCAAATAAATAGTGCTCTTATACATATGAACAAGCGCATATTCGATGATCAGAACATACCCAAGTTTAATCTACACCAGGTCCACTTTACTATATTTAAACATTATTACGCAATTACTTACTTATTAGGCGTTATCTTATTGTTTAGGCGTAATAATTTACAGGTCTTAAATATACATGTATATACTTTAATGGTTTTTAATATATAAATAGATAATAAATATCTGGCTTATTTATCATGGTAGCCTTACAACTTAGTTAATAATCGCGAACGATCGACCATACCGGTCAAATCGGCCTGCTCTAAAATAATTACACAATAACAATTTTCATGAGTATTGTAGCTTAAGTATATTTTGGTACGCGTTGAAAAAATACCTTGATAATAATCACCGACTTACTTATCCACTGACTAGCAAGCTATTTCGTAACGATTATACGTCCTTTCGCTCCGCGAACGACATAGCATTCCGAGTGTAACAAACAATCATCATCAACTCTAACACAATAGTTTAGAAAACGTTAGTCATAGCTATTTCGTTGTTCTATCACCGTTGTTGAGTCATATCAATTTTCGCGGGGAAAGCGCGAGGCTCAGTTGTGACGCAACAATGAAAAATTGCACGGACAAAGGAATCGTTGCGAGCGCCTCCACCTGACGCGAGGGCTTAGTTTGCGAATAATGGCGGACACTAATGACTCGTCATGTCGCTCCGTACGCGTTTATGGTTTTTAATGTGGAGCGATAGACAAAAATGGCTTAATTGAATGCAAGCAATGTTATTATTAGACGTTGGTGGCGTTTATATGGCCACCACTCGATCTCAGAGACGTCAGCTAGCATTTGATTGGGATTAGATTCGTCCATTCGTTAAATAGAGTAACAAGCATTTGTGAAGGAACTCGAAATGTAATGTTTGTTGCTAATTTTCGTCTACGATTGCGCGTCGTATGAATGACCATAGTAAATATAGATTAACCAATGTGGAAGAAACTATTTCCTGTTTTTGGACTTAGTGCAATCTTTGTAATTAAATTGATTCTGCAACATTTATCGATTGTAACCAAATGTTGGTGTTCCGGTTCATATTTTACTGTTTTTTTTTTGTTTCGATATAGGTTTAAATTTGCTCTCCCATACGTTGTAAAAAGCAAAATTCTATTTTCGTTTTGCATTTACAGTTAGAGACAATCTCATAACAAAGCACCAAGTAACTAAGTACAGCGCAGCAGTGGCCGTCGTGAGCAACATTGTTTACCCGTTCAGTTCTGCAAATCGCTCTCGGACGGCGTTCATTTGTTGCGTCTATAAATAAGGAGGTGCTAAAAGCGGACCGGCCGGGGGACGTGCTTCCTCCGCTTTGAGCGGCCCGAGGGGTAAACACGCCCGAGCTGAACGAGGGTCTTTGTTGACAATCGCTGTACGCTGCTCCCACCTCGAGTCGCGCAGTTTATGGCGCGCGCGCAATAAAACCACGTTCGGACCGACGTCGGCTCAATACAACCCCTTGACCGCACACGACACGCCGTCACTAGGTATAACTGATCCCAGATGGCGGTAAAAATTAACATGCAAATCGTTAAATAAAACCACACAATTTCACATGGCGGCTGACGAACGGCCCGACGATTCTCGTAACTTCACCGCCCACTACGTGATTTCCTTTTCGCCGCATCAAAGATTAACGTTCACCCCGAACAATGGATGCGTATTGTCTTCTAATAACCAGAAACAATCGTTTCGTGTATTCAAATTATAAATGAAGGCATGCTGTGGCATTTTTACCATAGCGGGTGTGCTCTCGCATCGCAATGTGATGCCTCGGCCTATCTAAATGCGCGCCGTGCCCCGCGCGTCCGGTCTTACTCATTTAACAGTTGCTAACTTTATTATATGCTCACCACTCTCATGTTATTCGACGTTATTATCATGCGTTGGTCATACGCTTTTTGAGACTGTATGTTTTTATTAAAACTGTCGACACATTTTTCCTATTAATATATTGTGAATGCAGCCAATCGACAGACCATAGCCCATTCGGAACATTATTCTCACAGCAGAGATGAACACATGTAACAATGATGTTTAACGATAGCCTTATAACAAGTTGTGGAGAGTCCCAGTGCCTACTACACTAGAGAATGATAGATATTGTTTCTGTATTTATAATCATTTGGAAATCATACAGACCGTTAATTAAAAGCTGAATTTCCTTATACACAATGTCGTGTCGAAATTGAAGTTTATAGTCGGCAACGCTTAATAAGTGGGTTACAAATTTCAGTAATCCATTGCGTAAACGAATGTCGTTACCAAACCTTTCATTTACTTCCTTTAAATATATTTAACTAGCAATAGAAAAAATCCCTGACCCACAGAAGTCATACCTATTTCAATCTTTTGAAAACTTACAGCATCAGCGTGCATTCTTTGGGTATTCGGTTATAAATTATAACATATAAAATTTGAATATTGAATTCTCTCCAACCGTTACTATCAACTAACCATGCGCCGTCTTCAGTTCCTTGTGTGGGCCTCTGCGGGAGAGAACTAGCACGTCACTGTCATTTTGTACTATTTTCGTATAAACTATAATTTATATTAATGAAATGATTCTCCCCGCCTCATCTACGACGCAATTACCACCACATGTCCCGCACAAAGCAATTGCGGTGTGCGTGATGCGTTTCATTTAAAATAATCCGTTACAAACAATACCAGACACGAGCGATTAAATACGCGCCGTCGCATTCTGAATCATACACTCGTATTCATTGTTTATTTCCAAGTAACACTGGGCTGTCCTGTTAACGCGCGTATACATACACATAAGTTTTTGTTCTCTTACAACAGACGAAACGTTTTGTGGAATTTCGAGATGAGCTCAAATGCAAACAAAGACCAGTAGAGGCGAGGGATCGTAAGGTTAATCACTTTGCATTATCGGTTTGTCGATGGTGCGACCGGCGTCGGAGAGGGGACGACGGCGTCTCCGCTGTGTTTTCGCGCAATCATTCAATAAAACGTGATCGCCGCAATCGACAAGACCCTCGGTCTCCTCAGAGAAATGGGCCAATTTAATATTAGAAATACTATCAGAGCTTACTTTGTAGCAACCCTCTGCTTCCTATTCGAAGCAGAGAGGCCAATAGACATTGAGATTAAAGCGAATCTTTTCACCAATGGCATTTACGTTCGATTGCAAAAGGTTCATTTATAAATAGAACGTATTTAATTAGAGACAGTTAAAGGATAATTGACCCGGCTCTCGGATTATATTACGACTCGACGTCAATTGCTTCGCAGCCAACCGCCTCTGGTTGCATGTGACGAGTGAAATGACAATCTTACACGATGATCAACGACGATCAACGGACGAGGTTAAAACCTGATTGTTACAACAAAAAAAATGAAAACGTGCTGCGTCGATAAATAATCGCAAAGGCGTCAATAATTGATTTAACCACGGCAAAGCTTGTAGATGCGCAATTTTATTTTCCTAAATGAATTCTTAGAACGCTCAAAATGAATACCTAACATAATCGACTCGAACATATTTAAAACATGTTCGAGTTTCAAGTCCCATATCGCAAACAAGAGCGTTACAGCTCGCCTTTGTGATCCGGCCTTATTAGAATTGTAAAATCGTATCTTCTGCCGTTTTAAATTTGCCGAAAACCAGTGACCCAGATTCGATCTCTTTGTTACACGATGCCGTTGCCCTCACAGGCTGGCTGTAAGCAAGGAGGATACATATTTTGTAAGGACCTCTCACGATTCGATCCGACAAATAACACGCGCTAATAGTGCGAATTTTCACTCATTGCCAGCGCAAATATACACACCGCTCCGCGTGAAGTTCGACGACCCCGTTGATTTTTGACTTTAATGGTTACTCCGGTGAGCATGCATGTAAAATTACAGCCACGAACTTAAAATTGATCGTGCACAAGTAACTGAAGCCACCTTGAAAACTTATATCACATTAACGAAAATTTACTGCTATTTTTTGATCGCTGCAGCAATGTTAGGTTTTTTTTTTCATTTTTTCATCGTTTGTATGGAAAATCTCGATTTCAACTCGAAACTTGTTTGCTTACAAATTTTAAAAATACGATTATTATAAATAATAATTGATGTTCAACGTTGTAGAAAAACTAGACGAATTATATGTACGAATAAACCTGTTTTTAATTGGTTTAAAATTCCTTCCGTTTTAAAAAAGTGCAAATCAAAGACTTTAGTAACTGAAGAAAACAATATTCCTTAGTCACGTCGGCGAATGTATCCGTGGTATTATTGTGTATAGTAACTGTAGTTGGTTAAAGCTTTTAACCAAAACCTCAAAAAGTCTTAAACAAAGCATATTACAATAGCAAACTTTGAAAGATCAAACGGAAGAATCAATGGAGAACATGATAATATAAACACGTACAACCTAGGGTATAGGGTTATTGTAACTTTAAAATTTAAGTGTTTTGGAATTGTTTCCTCTGTTTAGAAATTGTTAGATAAAGTTTAGAGCATATTTATGTAATCACAACTTTTTGAAGGTACGACGATTAAATAGATCGAGCTACCCTTATTCATTTTTTCGTTTTATTTTCTCTCAAGGTAGAATATTTAGATTTTCACTTGGTACCATTGGAATAAACTTATATGATTATTAAAATTGCGATTTCATTTCAATTTATGGATCACATCTTGGGCTTTCATTCATGGGGATTTATAGAACCGATAACCGATGAGGAAGAAAGGTGCTCGAGGGGCAGTCTCGTGTTGGTCACATTTAGTATTACGCATATATTCTTTATTGAGTGAGGTAACAGTAGATCTAATTTATATTTCACATTTTCGAAAAGCAAGTCGCAAAAAAAATAGATAATCTGTTGGCTTTTAGGCACCGATGGTAATAGAAGAATAACGTATATCTGATTTGGAAAAAATTATACTTCTCTAGCATTACAAAGGAAAAATGACTAAAACTTTTATTCCCTGTGCCTTTTGTTTGAAAAAATAGACATGAAATGCAGTTGATAACGGTTTGATTAAATAACTTGTAATTATTGGGAAATTGTCAAAAAGTTCTCTATGTTGTTTGCCATGGTAACACCATGATGTTGGTGACGCTTTTAGGAGTCCCGTATCGTAAAATTCACTCATAATTTTCCCAAAAGAAGTATAACTTAAAAAAAAAATCTTTAAACTTATGCAACGAGTACATGTTACACACTGTTGACGCGTGTTTCTCTTGTTTACACAATCGCTCGCTAATTTGGCGAGCACACAACTAGATTGGTGACTTCAAGCTCACTCGGCCGAGGGCCCGTGTTGCACCATCCTCAAAACCTTATTTGCTGAACGCACTCCAGTCACTTTACCTGTACTTACTGCAACATTTCAATATTTACGATACGTACGTGTACAATGACGAAATTATCTGGGGCTCATACCGACTCAATTGGCAGACGGAATGTGACCGTACAATAAACCGTATTTAACATGCATTCATTTACAAAGTGAAACTATGGATGATATGATAGATTAATACGTGAAGCAAAAACTTTGTACCCCTATTTAAAAAAATTGCGCGGATGGAGGAGGATAAATTTGCTATACATAATAGTTTATATAGAGGAGTGCAAATATTTTTTTTAATTATGCATAAAACTTACATTAAATTAAAAAAAAAAAAACATTACACACACTTCCATGTATAATTAATTATGGACGAATTTCGAACACTAGTAATATTAAATAGGCATAGAATAAATATACCTAATTACCAGAGTACATTTATTTAAAGAAAAACTTTGGCAAGTCGAAATGCACGTTGAAAAAAATTTATATATTAAATGTATCAATTTAATTATAATTTAACGGGTAGCAGTTAAAAAAAACTGTTGAATGTTCCTCTTCCATAGGTCCCCCAAGTATTAAGTTAACCGCCGCCAACGGTCACACGTGTTGTAAAGCGAGCAGCACGCAACCGTCGAGCGCGCTAGTCGACTCGCCACCGATTGCCCTTAGTTTCCACGTTTGCCGCGTTCGAAATCGATAGTGATTGCAATTTTCCCCGGGGCGGCACGGCTGCGCCCGCGCAACGTCCGATGGAAAGCTTAACCAATGTTCCGCTCTGATAACTCTCTAATTACGCCGTTTTCCATCGTCGCCAGGGCCGCCGCTCTTCGCGGCATTTCACCGGCTCCACCGTCCATTTGTTCGCCACACTTTCGCCTTTGACACGGCCCACGTCCAGCGCTCCCGTATTGTTCGCACGGCGGCGAGTTATGGCGCGCAATCAATACGTATCTCGCAACTGTCCAGCTCCGTTTGACGTATTCGGAATGGGGCAACTTTCCGCCGTTGTGCGATGGGTTTTGTGCTCCGTTTCCTTTTTCCCGACCTTTATTATCTCGTTTATTCTGTAAATAAATACGGCGACTGTGCACACAACGGGCGAACGTAAACGGGTCATGTGTGCACGAAGAAGGCCATATAGTAGCCGAGGCAATCTTCGCAGGTCGGTTATTGCCCAGTGAGCGAACAATGACCACTCATACGCCGCTAAAAGCATTCGTGTGTAATTGTTTGCAGTGCGTCTGCAGCAGACCGCACAACTTTACTACACTGCGTTACGATAGGGATGAACTCGCCGCTTCCATTTGCCACTCGACGCACTTACCCATTACTTCTCTAAGTAACCATCTAGCAGTGTGCGGCTGTAGCCTTAAAATAGCAGTAAACCACAGCGTATGAGGAAAACAATAAAAGCCCTATAACAACGCCTCTGGAGGTAATATCAGTACGACAGGATCGACGGTGCGCTGTGGCTGCGGCATAATAATTTGTCCGTCGTATTCCGAAACACAAGTGTTTGCGTGTTTACGATCCCCGGACGAGGCGGAGACGTATAGAATATACAATGATGTATCATTCACGTCGATTGAGGCCGCATACAAGATGCCGCGTATCATACATTATGTATAGAGCCCATGTTCCGTGTCGCGCAACGATCCGTACCGGGCTTGGAGCTCTTCAACACCAGACCTAATAAACGCTGAATTACATTCGCCCGACTCCAACAACTGCAATCTTCTTAAATCTCATTCTCCTTGAATCGATTTGGTTCGATGTTTAACACGTAAGTGAAGCTGCCATTACTGTTTACGTAATATTAACACGTTGCAGGTGCGCAGTTAGCTAATAGATCACGAATTGATCTCTATGGGACAGTACTGTTACTTGCGACACGCGTCGACCGTTGCCCCTCGTGTGGAGAGTTGGCGACAATTATTCCTCATTGCGACAATGCATCTAGCGCTGCCTTAGGCTCCGCGCACACTGAAATTTTCATAGATTTCCAAAAAAGGCGAATATCCTAATATAATAATATTTTTACGACTCTGGACATATATGGAAAGTAGCAAATTTACTTTCTGCCATTTAATTTATAAGAGACAATTTAAGCTTTGTCTCTGAACGCAGAAGGGAACGCGTTAGGTTTAATATTTCTTTCATGAATACTAAAGATTTCTTTTCATACCATAAACCATTAAGGATATATTGTTGGAATTCTAACCTCTATCAGTATAACACCTCGCATGTGCACAAGTGCGCATGGCAAAACGAACACAAGGTAGCGGACTATTGTCTGTCAACCTGCGCGTGGGGCGATTCTATGGTATTGTTGTGTTTTTAACGGGTATCGCTAGTCTGTCGTCGTCCTAAAGGAACAATAGTGCGCAATCGCCTCGATTGTGCCCGCCGCCCTCGCCCGTGTCAACTGCCTCTCGCGTGAACACGACCATTGTTATGGTGATGCCGCCGCGGCCGAGTTCGACGCACCGCGGAAAACAAAACACTCTATGGCATTTGCATCTTTGAACCTACCCACTAAATGATCCCGTCCCACTAGCGACTGCATCAATAGCGACGGGGATTTTTACCCAAATGAATTATTCATGGCGGGAGCCGAGGCCCGGACGAAAGAAATCTGTCCGGCGACGGCCATTAAAATTCGACTCACCCCGAGGCCCTAACAGTGCCAGTTAAGGTTTCGGTTAATTGGTAATATTAAGCGTTTTAACGTCGGAGCCATTACTGAAAACGGGACGCAGGTAGACGGGACCAGCCTCCCGGGGTGCTTTTTTTGTTGCACGCGAGCAGGTACCCGACCCGTACCGGATTGTAGGCGCTTTTTCTATATAACACAATAAATACAACAATCGTAGAATTCTCACACGATGAAAAAAATAAACTATGGGATGGCCTATACTTATTAGCCCCGCACTTGTGTCAGAACCTTTTTTTTGCATTTAAAATATTATTCCTCGTTTTATATACTTGTGTACATGTGTTATAATTATGTTATGCAGAGATTTACCGTCGTTTTTAATATGTTGCTACCTAGCAAAAATATCGTTCACCTGGTAATTTCAAATTAAATACAGTTTTTGCACTCAATCTAAGGCTCAATCGGAGGTTGCGATTGAGTTTCGTCGATTAATCTGATCTAATTTTGTCCATTATTGCCTTTAAATTGATGCGTGTGCTGTCTTTCTTCGTAGAGGAACCACATAGCTAAAACGTTGCCTTTATTCTATTCCAGAACCAAACTCGGCCAGTGCAGACGATGAACAGCGCGCTCAACAGCGCACTGGGCGCTGTGGGTGCGAATGGCACCACCGCCGGCTCGGCGTGGGAGCACCCGGCGCTGTCGCGCGCCGCCTCGGTGCCCCACCGCGCCCTCGCCGGCCTCCTGGACCGCCTCGGCCACCGCCGCCTCGAGCGCACCACCAGCGAGCCCGCCCCCCCGCCGGCCACCAGCCGCTACAAGACCGAGCTGTGCCGCCCCTTCGAGGAAGCCGGCGTCTGCAAGTACGGCGACAAGTGCCAGTTCGCTCACGGCGTCCGCGAGCTCCGCAACCTGCAGCGCCACCCCAAGTACAAGACGGAGCTGTGCCGCACCTTCCACTCGGTGGGCTTCTGCCCGTACGGGCCGCGGTGCCACTTCGTGCACAACGCGGAGGAGGCGAGGCGCCGCGAGCCCCCGTCGCCGGGCGGCTCGCTCGCCTCGCTCTCCTCGGGTGGCTCGCTCGCCTCCTACATGAGCGACGGCTCGCGTTCACCGCGCTCGCCCCACTCGCCCCACTCGTCGCACTCGCCGGCGCTCTCGCCAGCGCACGCCGCCGGCGCCGGCGCATTCGCCTTCCGCCGCACGCACTCGCCCGACCCCGACGACGAGAGGCTGCCCGTCTTCAACCGCCTCTCGTCCGCCTTCGGAGACCTCATCATCGCCTAGTCCCCCCCCCCCCCCCAACGAATCGAGCATAGTGTATAAGGATCGCCCCCCCCCCACTCCCTCGCCCCCTATCCCCAACACCCTAGTGCCTCTTCGACGTCTTCCAGCCGCGCCCGGGCGACGTCCCGATCGCCGCGCCTCACCCGCTCAACGAATGATCTCCAATCTGCCGATACGCACCACGTTGACCCCTTCGCGTTGTTTTAAACATAACCGAGTGTTTCACTGGCGTCTCGAAAGTTTGCGGTGTGAATATAGTTATTATAATATATCGTTTAGTTATCGGCACGCACTTGTAAATGGCACCTTATATTATTAGAATATTTATTGCGTAGCTCGCGGTTGTCTTCCCGATGCGATCCTCCGCCGAGCGGTGGTCTCTGTAAAGTTAGCTTATAGAAACGATGTTTTTTTTTATTTATTTCGTACTGCCTCCCCGCGCTCGGTACCGTACCGCGAGAAGGCGCTCGTGATCTATTTTTAAGGATTTAAGATAATAATTTATTATTTATTTCGAGTCTCGTTTAACTGTAATGATTGTTTTGTGAACTTGAGCAGTACCAGCTGCCACGCCGCACCGCACACGGGCGGGGCACGCGTCGACGGGACGTGGCTCTGAGCGACGGCGGCCGCGGCCGATTCCCCCGGAGCGCCAACAACCCGTTGTAGTACACGCGCCTCGGTGCGAACGCGTCTGTCATCCCGCGAAGGGAATCGGCCGCACTAGGCGGTTCGGCGGGCCACGGCCAAACACGCTAAGGCCCAACACGCTGAAGCGACGCGCCGCTTTTTGCGTGCGCCCAACACGTGACCTCGCCTCCACGCCGGGACAGCGTCGATCACGCGCCGCCGGCGATCCCTCCTTTTTGCTCGGTCGGCCCTCGACCGGTTCGGGTTTTGGTGGTTTTTTCCCTCCCCCTCCTTACCCCCGCACACCTACCCCCCCCGCCGGCGGCCGCCCGACGGAACGTCGCGCAAAAAGGCGGCCAGAAACCCGAGATTGGACCCGCCGAGCTGCTCGACGCTTCGATCGTTCGATCCTCACCGGAATACCTGTATAAAGTTAAGTACACGATAGTCTATTAGGGCAGGCGGCCTCCCCCCCCCCCCCCCCCCCCACCCAACCAACCGCCTCCCGCGCAGTGCCTTTTTTTACTCTACAACGGAACAGATCGATTATTATATTTAATTTTTTTTAAGTTGATCGAGATAGATTGATTGTTTATTTATTGTCTCCTTTGAATATGATAATTATTCAAATTGGCACAGTTATTAACTTTAGTACTTTGACAGAGCTAAGTGATTAGTTATCGAGGTAGCATATAGTTTTTTTTTTTCCTCTTTGAATTTAAAGTGTGATATTTTATAATATTTATATAACAAAGTTTAAAAAGTTTTAATTAAGGGACCAATGTACGTGATTAGGAGAAATTCTGATAGAAAACCCGGACAGATAGATACGCTCTTTGATTCTTACCAAGAAACTGTATCCTCGCGCCTCAAATAAATTATTTTTATACATATAGACCTACGATTTTGTACGATGAATAAATATGACATGTTGACCATATTTGGTTTTGTGTTTAATTATTGTCGGATATAGAACCGAGACGGTAGTGTGGTTGCTTTTTGTTTCTCCCATTTTTTTGTGTACCTTCTCATTTAGTTTCAGTCTTTCTCCACTTCTGTGCGAGTCGTTGCACGGTGACCACTGAATGATAATAATTTTGTACCTAATGTTAAGGAAGCTAGTATGTAAGCGTTTTCATAAATTTCGCGAATATTATTTATTATCAGTTCATTACGAATTATAAACCATTAAAGCTGATTATTTAATTTCTTTTGTATTTAAAAACAGACATTTAAGTACTACGATTACTTGTAACTTAATGTTTAGTAATATATCATGAGTCATTTATTATAACAGGCATTAGTATAAAAACTCTAGTACCTACAGTTGTAATTAAGTATTTAATTTTTTTTAATTTAATTCCAATTATTAAGTTAATCTTCAAAAAAAATTGACTACTCTATTTTCTTACGGACAAAACAAACTAAGGCTAAAGCTTGTTTATGACATTTTTTTTCTTGTAAGTTTTCTTATTTCCATCTGCATTTTTATTGAATTATAGTGAAAATATGTTAAATTTTTTTCTTTTATTTTTGTTTTTTTAACCCCATTCCCTCATCCTCTAGATTTAACTTTGTAATACTTATAAGCAATTTTTATTTATTTGAATCACAATGTATCCCTTCGAAGGGCCACATGTCAAGGATGCCACAACAACAGATAACAGGTTCAGGTTATTTGAGCACTGTTAATAGAAGTATAATTAATAATATGAAAAAAGATGAAGAGGTAAACATTCAGCTCCGAATATACACAGAATAAAAAAAATATTGTGAATTATTGTAACGAGTTTTTAGAACCTAAAAAATTTAGAGTAAGTTTTTTTCTTTAGACTCCTCTGTTAAGTATTCTAATTTAAACTGACTGTTTTAGGTAAAGAAGCGTAATTGATCCGAGACATTTTCTTTTAGATAACCTATTACAAGCTACCCAATACGAGCATAATAACGAGTATGTGAAGGCTCAAAATTCTGTTGCATGAACAGAATTTCTTCAAGCTTATCTTCACAATTTACTGGTCAGTAAAATTTAAAAAAAACATCTGAAATAAATCTAATTTTGCAAAATAAAAGCTAATTTTGTAGTACTTATATCTTATCTTGACACGACTACACTGAACATAATTTTTTCACACAAATGTAAATTGAAATGTCCGTATCAGTAAATGATTCATGTGGAATACAGACTAGATTTTAGCCAAAAGGGTCTTGTGGCGGGTTGGTGACGCAACCGGACTACTGGAAGAACGCAACTTGCTTCGTAAGTGAATTTCTTAGAAATAGGCTCCCCCTTGCCTATTGTTGGGTTATAATAGAAGTTGCCTTCAATTGTCCTCGAACTATGTGGGCATTGGAACAGATAAAATCTATATTCATGCAATATGATTTACAATAATTCAGCCATGCCAATAAATATGTAATATATGAATGAATAATTTAATGATTTACGATTCTGTCTGCAAAATTTGTTTATTTAATAAGAAAGTACCCGGAGGACCGAGCTTTGCTCGGTTTGTTTTTTTTTGTTGGTATATCGTGTATTTTGGAAATTACATTTAGATACAAATTACTGAGTAATGAAATATACATAATATTTTTCGATCTTACCGACGTAATAATAAGAAAATATGAACTGATGTTTTTCACAATAGAAAGAACTTTAAAAAAAAGGGAAAAAAGTAACAAAATAACAAATCGACAAAAAATTAAAAATAAAGAAAGCAATGATCTGGAATCGAAAGAAAAGTAAAAAATAAATGTGTAAATGATCGTGACGCGAACCACGGCCGTCTATTTTGGGGCCGCCAGATTACCGACAGAGCTATTTTGACATTTTCTCTTGCGGCGAAATTTACCTTCATATTCGAATTATATTTTTCATTCCCTGAAAACAGGGATAAAAGGACATTTTCTAAAAATGAAACCTAGCTAGATCGATTTTTCGCCCCCGAATCTATGCACATACTAAATTTCATGAAAATCGCTGGAGCCGTTTCCGAGATTCCGATTATATATATATATATATATACAAGAATTGCTCGTTTAAAGGATAAGATTTATACTTAGAATATGACACACTTCTTATGAACTTTCATGATGTTCGAAAAGTTCATAAAGAAACTATAAAATAAATTCATACGCCAATTAATAAAAAGTTATCTAATGGTTGCACTAAAATCTTCTTTCTTTCTTTTCACTAGAATTTTCTTCTCTCATATCTAGGTACAATAAGAAAACATTAAGTTATCGATTGGTATTTGATTTAATAATGTACGAGAATCTAGATCATAGTTTGGTGAATGGTAATAAACAGGCGAGAGTTCAGTGAAGCACAGGCCAGTTTACATAAAAAAATCACTTATATAGCCTTGATAGGAGTAACAGAAATGTACTTTGGTAATAACCTAGAAATTGAACTAAAAAAAAGGGTTTGATTTATTTTTTACTAAGCATCTTGTCCTACCATCGCACGAATCCATGGTTTATGGATAGTAAGTCAAATTTACCACAAATTTACAACTGTGCGCGTTATGTGTTTTAGTTATTTATTTGACACAGCACCGAATTGTTCATAATACATGACATATAACCCTTAGTAAAAGCCTTTATGTCGAAACTAAATGTGTAAGTGATGTGAAATAACTTAAAATTAATTGACAATTGGCAATTTTTTTTAATATAATGCAAAAATAAATAATTTAAAGTGACTATTATAAATTGTTATAACATTTTAACACATCAGGCGTATGAAAGATTATCGTGTCAATCACGTTCGTACTTAGGTTAGGAAAAAACATTAATACAAAGGTTAGGGTTGGATTACATATTCCAACATTGCTTCATACAACGCAATGTAGGAATATGTAATACGGTACAATAGAGAATAAGAGCCCAAGTTAGACCGGCTTTTGCCTATGCTTTTCCAAGCCAAGTGTGAATATTTTGGAGTTTTTCTTCTACAATGAATTTGTGGTTAGAACCAATGATCTTATAATTAGTACCTATAAAATATCCTGGGATAAAACTAGTTAAATACTGTTCAGGAGATCTGTTCTTTATTAGTGACCGAAGCCTGGCGTCATTTATGTGTTGATAATTTTACATAATACGTAAATATTAATTCAATATTGATATAACGCATGCTCCCTAATAATATTATTTATAATTGTAGAAGGCAGTAAAGATACTGACTTGTGAACAATTGAAAGTCTAAAATAATCTATTTAAATTTTTTATATTCCATAATATTTATTTATTTATTAAATATTAGTAAATTACATTATCTAACAAACCTAGCCCACGCGGATTGGTGCCAAAAACGCTTGCTGCAGTTCCTGGTTGAAAAGATAAATCTTTATTTTATGTAAGAAATTTAGAATTATTTACAATATTAGGAGTAATATATTAATCGAAAATGACATACTTTTTAATAGAAATTACGAGATTTTTTATTACACTTTATATAGTTTTTTACACTCCATCTGAATGAATATATATATATATAATATATATATATATATATCTAAGCAGCCAAGTTTGCTTAATGTCAGTTAAATTAAAACTATATCTCACACACTTCATAACTGGCAGAATATGTTATTAGGTCCGAATGATTTGAAACTTAAGCCGCCACGCAATGCTAACCGTCGAACAGTCAATTCGTAGTATGCTTGCTAGTGTGGTGTCAAATTCCTGTTCCTGGGGCTGCGTCGGCGTCTCTGGTAACCGAACACCCAGATAAGAGCGGCCTTGACTGCATGACAAAACGCTACGTCCACATCGAAAACGACCAACGATATCTAATCGAACATACATCGGCTTTAAACCTTATAACAATCGCATAAAGTCCAATTTATGAAATAACTTGAACCGATGCAATAGACATATCAGTTCAAATATAAAACGGATGTTATAATCTGTGACTGGTCGAATCAAATAATGAGCGGGCTTTTATCGTTTGTATGAAAACGCCGAAACGTTATTTAATACAGCCGTGGTGGTTAATATCTATAGAACCAATTTATGCTATTCAAACGGTCGTACAAAAGTCAAAGAAAATTTAATATAAATGTACAACACTGGCATGGATATCGTATTAGGATTGACGCACGAATATTTTAAGAACTGCTTTAAGGCACCACGATTACATTTGGGCCATTTTATAGTCTCATGCACATCATAAAAAGATGAAAATATTAAGATGCTGCAACGAATGCAATACTCGTGATATTAAGAAGCCTTTAAAACACATTAAGCTGCATGAAAATGCTGCATTTGGTCATTGGTCATTTTTGCAGATGTAATGGAATGGTAGATTTTTTTGTTGACGTTCAATAAGAGCTTAAGTTAAGCCTATATTGAATAAGGATACTTTGACTTTGAAATAAAAATGTTTGTATCACACAAAACTTTTACACGACCAAAATTA